AAAAAACCCAAAAACCCCAAACAAATCAAACCGCCTTATCTGTCATATTCAATGAAACATATATATATATATATATATAAGGCAAACTATTTTGTTGGCTACACATTTCACCCTTACTAGATAGGCTTGCTTAAGTCACAATGAAAGAAATCTATTTGTATATGTGTGTGTACACTTCAATATTAAATCATTAATATTTTCCTACTTACCTGGTGTCCCTTGGTCAGAATGAAAAAGCAAAATTGCATGACTCTTGTTTTAAAGCTGTTATTTTAATTTGTGATATTGATTATCAATTTGTTTGTTTTATGTTAATTATAGTTTAATGTAGACAATCCTACTGACACACACACACATATATATATATATATATTCAATTTGTAAACATATATGTATTATTTTATGTATAATAATTATGCTTACAAGAAATTTTGCTGAGATAAAGCATCATCATATCAATTTTTCAATTTATCTTTGTTGCAATTAAAATTACCAACTACCTTCAGGGTGTGTACGATCTTGGCTCTCCACGCCTTCCCATCATGCTCTTTGTCAGTTTTATCTTTTCACCATTTCTTTTGGTCCCTGTTCTGCTATCCATTTACAAAAGCTTATTTGGTAGGTTACTCATTATTTCTCTCTGTACCTCTTGGCTTCAATATGCCCTATAAGTGTCAAATTCTACAAACCCTCTTTCCTCATAAAGTGCCCTAGAAATTTCTTTCTGATTTGAAGTGTTCTTACACTTGGACTAAATTATAAAATATATACTTTTATCGAATTAGAATTATTTTGTTGAAGAGTGAAAAAAAAATGACAACATGATTTTTAACCCCCTTCTCTAGATATAGTCTGTGGTAGTTTCTGTCCCTACTAATTGGTGGGACCAACATAGGTTTTTATTTTGTGCACTTCAGTGACTATCTCCACCCAATGATAACAATAATCATCTTCTCCAATGAGTCACATAAATAGGAATATTAAATTACCTATATTGACAGATGAGATCACTATGTCTTTTTATCTTGCTTACTTAGGTGATTACCTCTCCTCAATTATCAGAATGATTCTAAGTATTGACCCAATGATTCACACTACAGAGTTTACTCCCATGATAGATGGAGCCATGATAGTTTTTTATTTCATTATACAAACTTACCAAAAGTAACACATTTTAGTAAATAAAGAAAATAGTCAAGCAGAACATCTGCCATTCTTTAAGTAACAGAGTTCAGTTATTTATTTATGAATTATTTATATATGGCGATAATTCTGGAGGCAACTCAAGTTGAATTATTTATTTATGGTGATAATTCTGGAGGCAACTCAAGTTGAATTATTTATTTATGGCGATAATTCTGGAGGCAACTCAGGTTGAATTATTTATTTATGGCGATAATTCTGGAGGCAACTCAAGTTGAATTATTTATTTATGGCGATAATTCTGGAGGCAACTCAAGTTGAATTATTTATTTATGAATTATTTATTTCTGGAGCTGACCATGGGTAACTAAAATATGTGATTTCAGTTATCTATGGTCAGCTCCAGGCATAAATAATTTGTGCAATTCTCTTGATAATGATCCTAAAGTGCACGATTGGTGAGGCTGGTAACTTGGACATGCTAACTCTTAGATATAACATTAAAATATCACAAAATAATAATTATTTTGGAAATTAAAGATATATCTACTTTTGGTAACTTTTATACTAGTTGCAATAGAACTTGTCATTTATTATAAGAGTATTTAAAAAAATAAAAAAAACAGTTTAGCCAAAAGCACTTGGAACTAACAAATGTTTTGACAATTTCTATATTCATTAAGTCCAGAAAATCAGACACTTGCACAGATACAAGAAAAACTAAAGAAAAGTACCTTGTGAATTGTGTCCAATAAAACTTGTATTTAAGTGAAGTTATAAAGTGTTTCTTTTAAGTGAAAACAGTGAAGGTTCTTGATTTAATAAGGAAATAATAAAACTTATTTTTTGAGGTTTCTATCATCTCTGATAAGAATGATTGTATATATGGATTTATCCAACACTCATCAGGAATCTTATTTTATTATTCTGAAATGACAAATGACCTGAAAACAACAAGACTCCTTTTTTTTTTCTTTCTTTTTCCTAATGTGAATTGTACACCCATCAAAAACTGAGGGACAGATTAGTTGAAACATTGTGATCTCAATTTGTGTTGATTGTAATAGGAGTAACATTTTTTTTTTTTTTTAATAGCAAGACTTCAGATTCTAAACTGAAAAGAAATCCCTCTTTTAGTTTTTATTCTTGCCTTTATTTCCAGTTATTTTTGTTTGAACTGTTTTATGTGTAGGATTGAAATTGCTTTATGTCCAAGGCAGTCATGGATAATAGCGACTTGAAAAGTAATCCAAAGAAAAATATGGAATCAGTCTTTTTTTTTTTTTTAAATTTATTTATGTTTCCTATATTTTAATATTTTTAATCATTGTTACCATAAAAGGTTTTATCATTTCTATGAATAGAATCTATAATCAATTTTAAAATTGAAATTTTTAAGCAAAGAAAATGTCATACTCATAAATACATGTTGAGGAGACACAAATGGAGAAATGCATTTTTTACCTAAATATGTATATACTTTTTATCTGAAGATGAATGTTGTATATCTTACCTGAGGTTTGGTACATGTGTACCCAGATTGTTTATTCACAATTTTGAAGATGAAATAAAATTCCATCTAAATGCAACGAAAATCAAATTTATTTCTCAAGAACACATTCATCATTATTAATAATAACAAAATCCCATGATGAAACTAATTCTTTTTATTTTGTGTTGAAAAAAAATCTGGTATTCTAGACAAAAAATATTCTGATAATGTATTCTGCTAACAAATGTTTTTCCACAAAGAAAATATTCCAGTGATCTGATTAAGTGAAAATTTGAAGTTGTTAAATCCAGTGAATAAAGATGTTGATATAAATCGTTCTGCCCCAACAAATTCATCTTAGTGTAAATTTGTGTTGTCATTCTTCTGAATAAGAGCCTTGTCAAAATAATAATGGTATATTTTACATAAATTTTCATGCTTCACTTATTTCAGATCAGAAAGATCTTTTATTGTCTTGCTTCATTCTAACACTATATAATAGAAGAAATTCTGTATATTCCACAGACTGCTCACCAAGATCCTATGGGATTGAGATTTGATTTCAGAATTCAGATGTTTTTTTTGTCCAGAATTGCCAATTCTCTCAATAATGAATTAAATTGTTTTAATGTGAACTTTTGACCTTGCTAATAAATTTGGTTGTGTTCTTGATAAATAAATTTCACATCTGCTACATATCAGTGGATATATATTCTCTCTCTCTCTCTCTCTCTTTTAATTGAAACAAAATGGACAAGGAGCTCAGCCAACACCCTAAAGTCTGGGCAAATCTCCAAACATTGACAATTTTTGGGTTGGATTGAGAACTTGTCAGCACCTCTCTCTCTCTCACACACACACACACACACACACACATATATATAATTTATTGATTGCTCCATCTTCACAGATGATTGCCATCCTGATATATATTCAAAAGAAGTATGGATCTTTATTTATTCATCTTACAGATTTTTATTACTTTAACTGTTATTTTTAGTGGATACTCATATTTCGTTAGATGCCCTGTTTGTTTCTTAAACAGTATATTTATTTTGATTTACCAGCCTGAATGTTCAAGAAATCTTATTAAATAAAAACATGCACTATCTGCCATATTTTTCTGTAAGATTTCTCAAATATTCATGCAGGTAGATGAAAATCAATAAATATACTGTTTAATAAATAAATGGAGTGTTTACTGAAATACAAGTATCCACTAAAAATAACGTTTAAAGTGATATATATATATATATATATATATATATATATATATAATTGGGAGTGATAAATAATTGACACCAAATTAATTTGATGAAACTCAGAGTGAAACATAAGACTTGGAATCAATTTGCAAATTTGATAAAAACAGATCATTATATTTTAAAAGATAATATTTAAGTTTCCTATTCATAAGCAACCATTTATTATATGTGAAATAATGTAAACTTTTACGTAAATGAATTGGTTATTTAGTGATCGTCTGAAACTTAACAGTTTAATTATGCAAATTATTCAGCAAAGCAAGATGACAATTAACTATGATTAAACCTATTGAATCAGAATTGCAAGAACAATAAAGACTATTTATAACTGTCCACGAAATTTGTTATTTTGGTGTCATAAGGACATAAATCATTTGAAGCTTTAGCGTCTATCTTTTGAGGTTGTAAATTCTTTCTATGATATTGTAGATTGATTGAAAAAGAAACATAAAATTATTGTATTTTTATAAAATGGTGGATTTCTTAGTCATAGCTTTTATTGAAAATCCTTAGAAGTATATGTAGAAAATGACTGGATTTAATTGTAAAAGTTCGTCTGCTTTACAAAAATTCTTTTCTCTGAAGCTGGGTTTCTTTTCTACTAAACATTTTAGTTTTTGTTGAGTTCCTGTATTGTTGTATTCTCTATTAGCAGAAATGTGTCTTTTATTTTAGCACACTTAAAAATATATTTCAATATCAGCCTTCTCATTGATGAGGCTGATGTTCTTCATTTGGGTGGGAAGGGAGGTTGAAGTTCATTTCAAGAACGTGTAATGATAAAAGTTTGCTTATTTAGCATTTTTTATTTTGTAAGTTAAGAACAAATATTAGTTTAAGTAAAGATTATTGTTTTCATTTGGTATAATTTCATCAATATCTGACTTCAGGATATTGAATATGGTGCTTGGTGTAGAGACTGAACTTGTAAATCCTTCAAAATCAATAATATATTAATAAATGTCTTAATCTACCTAACTGCTGTCCATGGAAGACAAAGAGAACACAAAGTGTGAGAATTATTTTAGACTTAATAAACCAATATGTTGTGATATTCCAGCTTGCAAATATCAAACATTAGAAAAAAGGATACTTAAAGATCAAGACTTTGCATTGACTTTATGACATAACATAATATGTATAAAAGCCTTGCGGAAGTCCTCATTAAAAATGGTATAAAGTATCGGGTTTAATGTCGAGTTGACATATCCGAGCCAAATAATAAAGGCCTGCACGTGTGGATTTATTCCACATTTATCGCCGCAAAAACTACGGATCATATACATAAGTGTGAATGGGATCCAACACAAACAGAATATAGCCATAATAAGTGCCATTCTCTTGGTGGCCCGTTGCTCACGAAGCTCAAAGCGGCGTTTCAAATTAGCGTTCATCATGGACGCTTTGGTTGGCTTCTCAGGCATCTTCTGCAAGTTATGGACTCTGTGCTTACCCTTCCGCGACTTGGAGTCACCGCTTTTGGAGAATTCGTTTATAATATTGAGGGCTCTCTGTCGTATATTCTTTGTAGATTTGCTGGTTATACTGTCGGTGGGCTTGGTTGTTGATATGTTGTCGGCTGCTGGCTGTGTTGTTCGATTCTCTTTCTCGGAATCACTGTAAGAAGTCGAGGTGACCATCAGCAACTCTCTTTCGGAGTCTGTCGTCTCCGTGGCACACTGTAACGGCTGCAGACTCCCCTTAGTGTTGGATGCCGTATCACTCTCTGTCGACAGCACTAAAGTTGTACCCTTTTCTGCACGATCTTCATCAGTGGGTATTGATTCATCAGTTTCTGTGGACAATAACTGCCCTTTCATCTGGTTCTCCTTTTGCCACATGTTTCCGTTCGTTGCTTGATTCAGAGAGTGCATCTCAAAGGATTCTTCTCCTTGAGAAGAAGAGAGAGGAGGCTGTTCTATATTGTCGGTCTGCAATTGCTGTTGCTGGGTGTGGACCTGCACTTTGGCTTGTCTGGCTTTTGATCTTTTCTTCAGTTCCATGAAGATACGGACATAAATAAAGAACATGAGAAACATGGGAATTATAAACGATCCAAAGGCGGAGTAAAGGACGTAACTTTGTGTCATAAAAAGAATGCAGTCATAGACTTTTAATTCGTTATTGAATCTGAAAAAGTTTGGTATGATATGGGGCCAACCTATAAATGGCGCTATGCAGATAATAATTGAAAAAACCCACACAAAAATAATGTAAAACACAGCCCGCTTTGACGTGTCTTGCGTTTGGTACCATATCGGGTAGACAGTAGCTGTGTAACGGTCAACAGCGATAGTACACAAGCCCCAAATAGAAGCCGTACAGTAAAGCACATCCGAACATAACCACAAATTACAAGTCACATGTCCAAATATCCAATATCCAAGAACGTCGTAACTTGCCGATATTGGAAGAACTGTGGCGGAGAGCAAAAAATCGCTGATCGCCAAATTTCCGATCAGGCAATTAGAAAGAGTTCTTAATCCTTTGTATCGGTATAAAGCGAATAGGACCATAAAATTTCCAAAGATCGTGAAAAGCGTCGTAGCTCCTAATAAGAATGCGACTATAAAGAGAATAAGAAATGAATCATGACGAGCTGAACAGACCGGCTCAAGAAGGTGCCAACCTGTTGCATTTAATCCACAAGGGTAGATTTTAATGTCGATTTCATTTTCAGGGGGAATGTCAAGATCAGTATCAGTAGAAATATTGCTATAGAGACTGTCCAATTGGCTAAAAGGTTTTGATGAATTCATTTTGAATCTTGATTTCTAAAGTAAACCTCTGTCATAGCTAAAATATGATTAGCCAAGAAGAGAATCCGCATATAATAATTTTTTTTTCTTTTTTCTAGTTTTATTTTTTAATTTCTTACTTTTCTTGTGTTGTTCAATTTTTCACTTTTTCGTTCGTTTCCTCTTTCATAATGGTAAATGCCAGATTGGTTCCTGTGGAATTTGGGAACTGAAATGAAGCAAGTAAGAAAAAAAATCAGTTGAACAATTAAAAGGAAAAGAACATTGTATCAAGTTCAAAACTTTAAAACTAAGTTTATGTAACCTGTATTTTTACCGGCTTGATTTATAAACCAAAAATATCAAAAACTGTCATTCACTCTAATTATTACATATGTAATATATGTAATTATTACATATGTAACAGCCTAACAAATTCTGGGGACTGTAAAATGAAGAATTCACCATGTTTGCATTTTAGCGACGACTGTATTTGAATCTTGTTTTCATGACTTTAAACGCAGCTTCACTACATGATTCACTTACTGCTTGTCTCCCTGTCTGCCAAAAAATTACACTCAAAATACTAGGATTGAATACGGATCACTTGAACATAGTCAACGGTTTCATCCATAAGGCAGTTAGTTCCTGACCCGAACTTTTCTTATTTTAAACAAGAATTGATTGAAATACACTACAGTTAACGAATACATATCCACTGCCGCACAAAATACAATAATGTTATCTTATAGAATAGACTGTAATAAAAGTCGTACATGGTTTAATTCAATTATATTTTTAAAATGTTTATTTCAATGTCCAGTAGTACATCAGTAAGCCCATATAGATTGCTGTAATTATTATCTGAGTTTTTATCTGAAATTTTCACTGTATAATATTTTGATCTACATAATAAATATACACCACTGAAGCACATTAACACGGAATATGCTGAAAAATGTTATGGACAATAAATGCTTTTTTTCATGATTATGCAACGAACTAATTTACCTATGTCTGCTTGTTTGACTGATACCATCGCACCATTTACTTTTTGGTTTGTTTTTTTTTTTAACCGTTTGAGCTCTGCGTTCCTGAACAAGTTTAACCCTTTTCTGCCTGAGCTCCTGAGTCAAAATTCGCAAATAATTGGTATGTAATGTTTCACGGTAGATATAAAAAAAAAATAGTGTTTACCTACCGTTCAACCGGTGGCTGGTAATTGTCATTTTTCTTTACCACCGGTAAAGCGGTGATCAGGGTTCAAAAGGTTAAACATAGTTCCCAACTATTCATATGGTAATGAGCAGAAATGAAAACAAGTAAAAAAAAAAAGCAACATTATTAAGAGATGTACAATGACTTGTACTGATGCATTTCATATACGGAGTAGGGTGGTTACTGAAAAGTTCGAGTGTGGGAAAGGATTTAAAAATTCTGATAGATTTTGGGAAGTGGAAACTTTCCAACATAATTCATACATATTTTTTGAGCTAATATGGATATTTTTCATGATATCATTACACTGACACACGTGTCAGATTTCGAAATGTTTTGTTTAATTACTGAATAAATACTAGTATAAAGTGACATGACTGTAAAACCATTGACGATGTCTGAGTAGAACAACGAATAAACCAGTAAATAAGACACACAACTCTGAAATAAGTATTATTTATTGAAATTCCCTACCTAATTGTCAGAATAGTCGAAGTTGTTGAACTTTTTATTAATTATTGTTATTATTATTAAAACAGACAATAACTTCAATCTCTAATTCTCTACCTTGAGTAGTTCTTGGGCCTAGTATCGGGTGAACACTTAGTAAAAAATTATTCAAAATATCTTTCACACACACACACAAAAAAAAATGTAATGTTTTATGTACGTGTTCGTGTAACAAATATATATTTATTTTAGAAATGTGTATATGGAAAATGCATGGAACCCTCTATTCTTTTTTGATTTCGGTAGCAATCTCGGAGAATTAAAAGCTATGGAGAAGGCAATGGGGAAACTACTTAAATATACTGGTCCACTCATAAAAATATAGGGATTTTTTTTGTGTGTGTGTGTGTGTGTGTGGGGGGGGGATAATTTTTGTAGGTTAGCATTTTTTAGACCATCCTTAGGGCGCGATATTTCTCAGAATCAAAAGATTTTTTTTTAAATAAGTGTAGAATGGGTGGGGGTTTCTGTTCAAAACATCGATAGATAGTGTAAAATCGGTCCGACTTTTACAGAGTTATTGGACCTAGCCGTTATTTACAAATGTCAACCTTGAAAGTGTGGTAACGTCATTGATATCTGCATTTTTTTTAACTCTGTATTTTTAAGCTTTTTTTTTTTTAAAAAACTTTTTAAAGATTTTTCTTTTAAATGTTTTATTGGATATTTTTCTGAAGCACACGCACAAACATTTGAGGATAATTATTTATCTTAAATGAAGAATAAACACTAAACAGATACATAGTTTTATTAATTTTAATTTATGTAAATCTTGTTATTTAATTATAGATGTATATATCCGTTTGTTTTTATTTAAAAGAAACACTTTCATAGTAGTTATTCTGATGAACATTCTTCTATAGTACTTTTATGAATTTAAGCGCAGTACTAGATTGGCAGCAAGGTCTCATCATTTTACAGTTGAAATGGTTAGAGATGAAACCATAAATTCTATGCTAACAATTTCTTCTATCGTACTCTTTGTTGGTTGAATTCCAATTAACTTTTTTTTTGGTCTTCAAAAATTTAGATACAATGTCAGTCGTTATCTACTGTCAGGGATCAATTTGACACTGTATCGATATTATAAACAGAACACTCTTCTAAACCAATAAACATCAACAAAATCAATATTTTTCGATTCTGACAAGTGTCGCAGCCTAGAGAAAGTCTGAAAGTAAGAATCAACCAAAAACTATTTCTAAAAACAGTTTTCACTATTTATATTTTTAAGTGAACCAGTCTGTGTAAAAAAAAAAAGAAAAAAACTTATTTGGCTTTTATTGCTTGGCTCTATAATGTCGCAAGGGAAATCGCTCCACTAATTTTCCAAAGTCGCCATGTCAGTTCACAGATGATAAAATTTGAGAGCCATGATCGTCTTCGACATGAAGAGGCAATTAAAAATATATACACGAGCGAGTGATGAAAAAGTTCTCGGTTCGGCCAAGTGAGAAATGGATTATTATATTTTTTCATCCCCCCCCCCTCCACCACTGTATATCTATTCGCACGGGAAAATTTATCTGAAATATTCATCACTGAATTAAGTGCAGTAACAATGAAGGAAATTATGCTGAAATATAGGATAGTTGTTGCGTAAAATGAAAAAAAAAAATTTAACGCAACAGATATTTTATAGTGACATAGTCCATAGCTAAATGAAAATTGAAAAAAACCCATTAAACGACAGACTTACGGAAAAGTGAAAACCTATGTAACTCTATTTAAACATCATTCCTTCGTTTAAATAAATCTTCTGTTAAATAGAACGAACAGTTCCTGGTATCGAATAAATCTTCTAAAAATCGTTTGATTCCAGGTGGAAACATTGTAAAGGGACTTGCCGAAATTGTGTTATGTTCCGCATACTTTCGACCATCCCATCCATTATGGGTCATTTTCAACAAAAAAAAAAAAACAACAACGAAAAAACGAAAAAAAGAAAGTAGAAAGTCGTGAAAAGGCAATTACAGCGTTTGTATTATCAATGATACCAGTTTAGTTTGAAATTAACGTGGGTTGACGTGCTATAATTATGGAATAGATTATAGAATTTAGTTTCATCAGAGCTGTTTTTTTTCCACTTGAAAGCACACTGCAAATCAGTGTCCTTTCTTATCAAGCCCTCCCCTCTCCAAACCCATTTTGTGCTAAACTCACAAAAGTGCTGCAGGTTTTCCAAACTCTTCAAAGATTTTTATATGGGAATGATGGAATTTTATTAATAGTTCTTATAATGTCATAGTTCAGTGTGCATACTACGGGTGTTCTTCCAGTGTCTATGCATGTTATTCTTCCATTGATAACAAAAGCATTTCCATAATGTTTACTGTTTCCAAACCTTGTGCTGTCTAAATTCCGATATTAGTCTTTTCTTTATTTTGATTTCTTAAAAACAACATACATCAGTGTTATCAACGTCCCAAGAAAGTAATATCTTCTTTTCTTTTTTCCCCGATTCTTAACATTTAAATGTTCCGATGATAAAATCTTTATGCAATTGGGAGCATTTAGAGAGAAAGTTTTTAAATAATAAGTTGACAACTGGAGGGGCCATCACA